AGCTGTTGTTTCTACGCGCTTCTAAAACAGCAAAACATTGCATATCCGCAACCGCATATCAAAGTTGTAAAAAGTATATAGTTAAAGAGAGCGGTATATATTTAGATATTCTCTTTTATACTTTTCGAATTACCGCATTATTTATTAACTGTAACATGCAAGACGTATGGGGCGCGTTATACAAAAATAACGCTCCCGTTAAGAATAATAAAGCGAATTCCGTTTCCTACGCGTTTCATTCTTATATATAATGCGTCGTACATTTTATATGTTCATACATGCGAGATATATGTGTCTACATTCTTAGCGCAACCGAAGCATCGGATGCAAATACTAAAAAAGTACTTTATTCAACGAACAACATGCACGAATTTCTATTTATCGATGATACACTAAATCGAAGTAATAATAACTAATAAATAAAATGTATTAGAAAAAAAAACACGTAGAAGAGTGCAAAAAAAAACTACATTATTAGAATATAAGAAATAAAATTATCAATTGAGAATACGTCGATAGTAAAATCTGTTTCGATATAAGAATCTTGCGTATATCTATATATTTTTGACTTATACTGTTTTATAGCTTGCGGAAAAAATCTCACGTATGGTGACGTATGCATTTCCGATTAAGTCGTTATGGCGCGAATACAATTTGTGTATGTCTCTCGACATAGTGGACATTTCTCATCTTCCAATTGTTTTTGGCAATCATCGCAAATACATAAATGTCCACATGGAATAAATATATATTCTGCAGTGGCATTTAAGCATGTGCAGCACATACCACTGGTGCGCGACCTTGATGCATTTGTACCTGTCAGAGCAGCAACAGGGAGAAAAGGTAGATCGGTTTGTTCGCTATCGCTTAAGCCAATAACGCCAAAATCGTCTTCTGGTGTACGAAAAATATTTTCGAAATCTGTAAAGTATACAGATAAAGTTTAATCAATAATAATATATATTAATCGCACGAATAGAAATACGTATAGAATGTATATACCAACCTTCATTATGCGTCTCATTCTGGTCGGATTCACTCGTATAAACCACTTCCGTTTGTTCTTGTTCATTTTCTTGTTCAGTGCTTGTATGCCCTGGAATAATGACAATACTTATCAACATAATATCCGCATTGATAAATATAATCTATCATAAAAGAATGGTCGCGCGTTTTGCAAAACAACTGCTGAGTTGTCAACCTACCAACATTCTATATATTGATTGTTGGTTTTAAAGTAAGAACCAATCACATTCAAATGCTACTGCGGGTTTGTTCTACACGCCTATTGTTTTATTCCAGATGTCACGTTACATTAAAAACAGACAAAACAATTGCCACCACTAAAAGTCGATTAATACTGTCATATTAATCAAATAATATTCATAAAATCAATTATATCTTTATATATATTTTGTTAATTACTTAAATCAAAAAGATATAATAATAAAAAAAGTCAGCGTAAAGTCTGTTTTAAGTCGTCTAAGATCAAAATTTCAATCGTGATAAAAAATCAATAAATTTGGTCAATGTGACATCAAAGTGACATTATTTTGACTTTTCTGTTCCCCTTATAAGACTTGGGATGAATATATGTGTGCAATGTGTATGTGCGCAATAACGTTATGTGTGCAATGTGTTAATATAATTTTTTTATTTTATGTGTGCAATACAGCCATGTGTGCAATGTGTGTGTGTGCGCAATAAAATCATGTGTGCAATCCGTATATGCGTAATAATATTATGTGTGCAATGTGTATGTGCGGAATAATTTCATGTGTGCAAAATGTATGTGCGCAATAATGTTATGTGTGCAAAGCGTATGTGTGTAATAACGTTATGTGTACAATGTGTTAATATGATTTTTTTACTTTATGTGCGGAATAATATTATGTGTGCAATGTGTATGTGCGCAATAATGTCATGTGTGCAAAGTATATGTGCGCAATAATTGTCATGTGTGCAAAGTGTATGTGTGCAATACGTCATGTGTGCAATGTGCTAATATGATTTTCTTATTTTCATGTGCGCAATAATATTATGTGTGCAATGTGTATGTGCGCAATAATATTATGTGTGCAATGTGTATGTATGCAATAATGTCATGTGTGCAAAGTGTATGTGCGCAATAATCTATTACTTCTTTTTAAATTTTTTAACCATTCTTTTTAATCATCCATTAATATTTTAATATTTTTAAATTAAAGTTCTTTAAATTTAACAATCCTCCCAATTAAATATAATTTATAATATTTATTAAATTTCAAAAATTTTAATATTATTTTATATTAAATTCTATAGGGTCTTCTTGTCCCATAATATCACTTAAGTATTTTTACTTAATTAATAAATTAAATTTATAAATTTGAAGACAGTATAAATTTCATCAATTCCTTTACTCTAGCTTCCTTTTAAAAAACAATTGATTATGCTACCTTAGTACAGTCAATATACTGCAGCCATTTAATTATCTCATAAAGCAGAAAACAATTTTATATTATTATCATAAAACCATGTTTTTATTAAACAGGTGAATTTATATCTTTGCCAAATTCCTTAAATTAATATTTATATAACTCTTTTATTATTAAAATTTTTGTACTCTAATATTATCATTATTATTTAATTTATATAATTAAAATTAATATATTTTTTTATTATTAAATTTTATTTTTAAAATTTTAAAACTATTCTAATTTTATAAATTATTAAATTTTTTCTATTAATTTCAAATATTATAAACATTAATATAATAATTTTTCTAAAAATTATTTTAAATAATATTTATAATTTATCCCATAAATATTATATTTTATAAAAATATTATTATAATTAATTAAATAATATATTATATAAAATCAAATTAAATTTAAAAAAAAACTAGATATCATTAAAATCGACTAAAATCTCTTCTCTAATAAATTATTTAAAATAATTATGTTACATTAACAATCATAATCTATTAACTCTTTCAATTTCGAGAAGAATAAAAAATATTTGATTTAAATTTTAATAACCCCTGATACCACAAAGGTACAATAAATTAAATTTACTTTTTTAAATTTTTTATTTTTATTTACATTACCTCACCTATAATTTTTATTAATTAATTTATTCTATATAATTTAATCCCTTTAATTTATATAAAATTTTAATTACCAATAAATTTAATCTATTATTTCATAATCTAAATACAAATTCCTATACATTTACTTTGTTACGACTTCTTTCAATTATTAATTTCATGAAAATGACGGGTAATTTGTACACATAATATTTTATCTTTCAATTAATAAAATTAATATTTATTTACTATTAAATCTCTCTCCAATTTCATTATATTAATTTAAAATATAAATTTATTACTATACTAAAATGTAACTCATTTTTAATCCTAAAAATTCTACACTTTGATTAAAATTAAAATTAAATTAAATTTATTAATTATATCTTCTTTTAAAATAATTTAAATAACAATACATAAAAAAATTTTTAGGTAATTCTTATCGTGGATTATCATTTACTAAACAAGTTCCTTTAATTATTTATTATACCGTCAAATTATTTAAATTTAATGTATTATATTATTTAATTTCTAATTATATCTAATTTTATTAAAATAATAGGATCTCTAATCCTAATTTTAATTTTTTTAATTCTATAATTTATTTTCAAAAATTATTATAAAATTTACTTATTTCACCAAATAAAACTTATTTTTATTTTATATCACATTAAATTTAAATTTAATTATAAATTAATTATAAATTTATAATTAATTTTAAATTCAATTATAATCATAGTTTAACCGCAATTGCTGGCACTATATCTATTATTATTAACCTAATTAAATTACTATTATTTAATTTATTAAATTTTATTATTATAAATATTATTTATTTAATTTTAAATTATCTAAATTTAAAATTAACATATATTCATTTAAAAATTTATTTATATTTTAATCAAATAATAAATTTTTTTAATAAAAATTAAATTTTATAAATAAAATTTTTATTAATAATAATTATTTAATTAAATTTATAAAATTTAATAAGTAATTAATAGTTTATTTTCTATATAAAATAATTAATATAATAATATATTTATTTATATTAAAATATTTTTTATTCAATAAATTTTTGATTAAAATTATTCTTT